ATGTGACCAAACAGACACAGGTACTGGTTTACTGGCAGCAGAGCAGCAGACTGAAAGCAAAACACCTGCAGCAGCAGTATCGCATTAACAAGTGTGTAAGGATGGACTATAATTAAAGCTGTGTGTTCTGTTAAACTAACCGAGTATTATTTTGTGTGTGTAATAGTTTTCCTGTATATCAGTGGTGCTCAATGGTTTAAGAACAAGTAAAGAATAAATATTTGTTATGGTTCTAGTGTAAAATAATCTTATATATAAAGTAATCAAGTACACAGCTTGGGTGTATGAAGGTTAACAGGTTCTCTATTTTAGATACTAAAGTTTACATTTTTTGTACAGTGATCCATTTACAGAGGCTCAAAAGTAATGGGACAGTTGACTGTTGCGCAGTTTCATGACCAGGTGTGGGCTGTTCCTTCATTATTCCATTCCCGACCATGACCCATTTACACAGACAGACAGTGTGAAAAATTAAACTTTTTGCTTCCTTTTTTTGCTTCATTTGCTGTACAGCAAATAGTTACACATGTCATAAATGCTTTTATATATTTATGTATTTCCATATATGGACTATTCTTTGTATAAACTTTAATTTAATTGATTATGCTGTATTTTTTCAGTACTACAAAAGGCTTTGCCTAGGAAGCTTGCTTGATCTTATTAAACCCTGTACATAACTGTCTTCACTAATCAATGCAGTTACTGCAACAGAATAATGCAACAATATTCAACATAATTGATGACATTGTACGCACTGTTTTTATATAATAAGTGCACTATATTTACTTAAAAATGCTAATAATACTAAAGATTCATGAATGACTAACACGTAGACAGTTCCATTTTAAAACATGTTTATTGGTCATATACAAAATAAAGTAAGCTGTTTATCAACAAACGTACACTATATACATCAATAAATTAAACAATGCATCGGACCGATGATGAAACAGTTAATTTCGTGATTACCCATACCTTGTCATCGTCACTATCTACAAATTGCAAAGGAAAAAAAAGAAAAGAAAAAAAAAAACGAGAGAGAGAGAGAGAGAAAAAAAAAGACAATAATTTAAATTGGAAGATAAATACTAACAAAGACTGTCACATTTTAAGTAGTTTCCCATAGAAAGTACTGCCATAGAATAATTTATTACATCCCTTACAGAAATATTACAAAACACAGAATTTCCTATTACAAGGGCTTTTCTGATTAGGTTACACCATATTCACACAAACTCACTACTTTTCAAAGGCTTTAAACGGACCATTATTTATACTGTGTTTCCATGTGTAAGATTTAGAAACACAAAAAAAAAAAGAAAAAAAAATCCCATGATGAACCTGGCTGAATGCTCGCATCAAGAGTCAAATTTGACGGGGAGACTGCTACAATAAAAAATAAATAAATACTAATTTAAATGTGCTGATACCTGAACTCTGTACGATTTTTTTTATTTGTACATTTGATGCAGGCTGGGTATGAACCTGGGACGCAAAAAACAAACATCACTATTGATGCAAACACGAAACAAAATGATCAAAGGAATCCTTGGTTCATTTACTCCTATCGATCAGGATCAGCGGTGGGTGAAAGGGCTTTTAGAGTCCAGTGGCGTGACTCACTACACAGGAAAATCACTGGATGCCTGCGTACCGATTGGCCAAGCAGCAAGATAAGGAGTTAATGATTTGCATCTTCTGGAAGAAGTGTGGGTTTTGAAGAAGGGCTTGGTAGGCTGCTGAGTTAACTAAAGCAGGAGAGAATAAGTAGAGTGGTAAATGGTTAAGAGCTTTATCAGACGCATCTCCACCACTCCTTTTCTGTCTCTGTAAAATATTTATAGATGTAGTCTGAGTGGTTGTTTTAGGGTTTGTGATGAAAAGCTTCATTATGACGAGGGTTCGACCCCTGCAGGGGTGGCAGAAAATAAGGTCAGCATGTCTTGACAATCACAGGAGGTCTGAAGTGTCAGCTGACCGTGTCTGCTGAGTGATAGTCTGGATTAAACTTGTGTAATGTTTAACCTTTTGTTTGTTTAGAGATGTGGCACATGGTTTCTCACTGGAAACGCCACAAGAAGTTTAAATGTGGAAGACAAAAATAAGAACTCTACAGGTCAGCAGGAGGCCTTGCATGACGGCTGCATCATTCTCGGTTAGAAACGGATTAAAAAAATAAAATAAATAAAAACACAAGAATGCACCAATTGTGAAATTTTAAGCAGATAACAATGTTTAACCTCACTGGTGACTCAGCTAGGGTTAAGATTAGGTTTCTGAAACACATTTTTGCTTCTGAAATAATTGCACAGTCAAATGAAATGAAATCAAACTCGAAACAACAACCTGTTGCAGTAAGGTGAAGCAGTTTGAGGACTTTATGGACTTATCAAAGGAACAAGTCGCTGCAGTTCTACAAACCTGAGAGGAGTTGGATGTTCTTTGTGGAATTTAATTAAATCTTGCTTTGTTTTTTTTGTAGTGACTGTATTACTGCATCGCTACTACACTCTGTAGTCCTCTCACTCTCTTTTTTGTTTGTCTCTCATTGTAGTTACTGTCCTTTATATTTTTATTAACAACACAAAATTTAAAACAAATGTTGACGTGAATTCTCTACAAATACAAATATCTGAATATCAGATGTAAAAGACTTCAACCTTTTTCATATGACATAAGAGATAAACTGCTTACAAGTCCGTTACTCATCTAAAGTGGGGCTTTGAGTTACTAAAACACACAGTATACTTTTGTTTATCAAATGGCTAAAAATAACAGGCCAATACTGTTATCGACCGAGGAACAGTTTTATGGCCAGGTGAGGCCAGTTCTTTCGTAATGAAGCCTCATTGAGGTCTGAAGTGGTTTTGTTGCATTTGCATTTGGTTGCTGTTCTCTTGAAATCTAAATATGAGGGTCAACAGACGTGTCAATCTAAGCGACGGAAGCCATCATTAGTTTCAGAAAACAAAATATTGTATTCTAAGTGTCGTCCAGACACATGCACCTGACTGGATGTGAGAGACCCATTCTGAGCTAGAAATGGACACCAAACTGATGGAGCACAACAAACAAACATCAGTTGCTGCAGTTTTTGAATGCCGTCTTATTTGCTGAATAAACTGATGGGAGTTGAAGCCAATATCTGCCAATAAAAATGGTGCATCCCTGTAAAAAAAAAAAATCCTAAATAAATAAATTTGAAGACTTTGTGTTTTCACAGTTAACTGCTAAGTGAAAGTGGGTAAGCCACACCACATATGCCAGGTTTAAACAGAGGCAAGCTGACATTTTAATTTACCAGGTATATTTAAAAAAAGAAGAAGAAGAAGAAGCTAAACACCGCACATTAGCTCTTTAACCTCGTCACATCACACTGTACAGTCAGGAAAACAGACAACTTGACAAACGACTACGATAGCGTCAGTGCTCCTGTGAGGCAGGAGTTTGGATTTTGCCAGTTTGCATAATTAGATGTGTCTATTTAACAGCAGCCACATGTTGACACATTAATGTTTACACAGAATGCTTCTCTCTTTTTTTCGTTTTTCTTTTTAGAAACCAGAGGAGCATAAAAACACAGAGAAGCAGCACACGTAATTGTACAATTTGACATAACTTACAGTCTCAACACAAGTTGAGTTTCCGCTTGTTTTATATGATGTCTCACACAAACACACACACAAGCCCGTTCAGCTATCTTAGTGAGGACCTTCATTGACATAATGGTCTCCTTAGCCCCTTACCCTAACCATTAAAAATAAATGCTTAACCCTAAAAAACCAAACAAATAAACCAAACAAAAAAACAAACAAACAAAAAAAACAAAAACAAGGTTCTATTAGTGTAAGAAATAAGGTTTATAATTAATTTTTTAGTCAAACTATTAAAATAATTATATAAAAAAAATATTATATTGATATCGGATGGTTTAGACAGGTTCCCCTTCCACTGAGACTGCATGTTTATTATAGAGTGTGTAAATAAAGTGTTACTTATAAAACTAACAGAAAATTGTGTGGATATTGATAAATACTAAAAAGTGAATGACCTCACAATTGATTTAACAGCACAAAATAAAGCACAAAAACTAAAAGACTCAGTGTTCTGTGGAGGCTAAATCCACTCCACACAGGGTTAGTGGGACCTGTCTACCGTTTTGATTTTAATATCATGTTTTTAGCTGATATTTTAATAGATACCACTCTTTCTGTTAGCTCAAAAGCTGAATATCTCCACAATAGCTTAATACATAGATCAATCAGTCAGAAGGGATCGACTACAGTACAACGCCAAAGATGACCGTCGGAGGAAGGAGAAGAGGAGCAGAAAAGCTTAACAGGAACTTTAAAGGAGAGTGTGGATGATCCAGCAGCCCCAAACTTTCTCTACACCTAACCATAACTTTGCTGTAACCCTGACACTAAAACCACATTTTGAGCCTCAAAAAGGCCTTCAAATTTGTGAGGACCGGTGTGTGTCCTCACAAGTGACTGTTGGTTCTCACAAGTATAGAATGCAGATTTCGGTCCTCACAAAGATAGCTAGACAGAAACACACACACACACGCACAGCTGGCCAGTGAAAAACATCAGTGAGACAGGCAGGAAGCAGCAGACTGATGGAGAGGGACAGAATACATTTTTAAAACTCAGATAACGGCATTCAGGACGTACAAAACAGGGCGTTTTCTTTAATATGGAGAAAACACGTTAATACACTGTATGAGATACTGAAATTTGCTTGTTGCTCAATACCATTAGGTGTGATAAGTGATTTTCATTTGACATCTGAAGCTCTCTGGTTTCACGCCTGACTGAACGTGTGAACGTTTATCCGTTCAAAGACTACGGAGAAAAAATATTTTCAATCACAAACCCATTTATCCTCCTGCGCCTTTTTCACTGTTCACCAGTTTGACTTCTATTTCTGTACAGATGAAGACACTCCTTACTTATCATAGTAACTGCACAGCAGTAGGCGAGCTAACCCATTTTTCTTCACAGTGGAGAAGTAGCGGTTCAGGTAAAAGGCTGCATGTATGTAATGTTTTCATCTGTGTAAATTGCTTCTCTTTCAGCTTTAAAATCAGGTTAAAAAATATTTGAGGCAATTGTACTCAAAGGTAAACCTCACTCTTTGACAGACAAACCATTAAATAGCAGAATAGTTTTTTTTTCACTTCATAAAACACCATATAACAATTGTTATTTCACTTCCCTGACACTTCAAGAACAGTTAAACACAAAAACAAAAAAAAACAAATACAACTGGAACGATGTTAAATACACATAACCGTGTAAAATACAGAAGCAAAAAAAAACAAAAACAAAATATTTTTTTAATCACACACTATAAAAAATAAGTTATTGAAGGAGTGGTTGTGATGCAGCCACAAAGGCCTTCAGCAGAGTTTCACATATTTGCTACTTTGCCTGATGACCTGAATACACAACACAACGCAGTGTGTGAGGTTAACCATAAAACTTCCTCATCTTGTTGGTCACTTTATCTGCAACAGGCTGCACAGACCAAAAATAAAGACACGGAGGCCTGCTCAGAAATACGTCGCCAACGTGAACTCTGCCAAAGTGCAGTTTAGCAAATGATCTAACACGTCTGCAGGGCTGGAGCTGAACGATGAGGGCCGGGGAGGACAAAGACTTTACGATTTGAGAAAGAGTGCAGTTACTCACTGTGTCATCACCCGCTTCAGCCTGAAATCAAACACGTATCAAAGTCATATCCATGAAATAGGGAACGTTATATTACCTCGTCACATACCTACACAGCACACCACACACTAGTTCACGGCTACACACACGTGCCTAGTAGCTAGAGAAAAAACAAAGCTATTCAGTAGTTAAGCCACTTTTGGTACAATTGCAAAATAGAGAGATACTGTATATCAAACAGATTTTGTTATACCTTTTTTTTGTTTTGTTTTTTTATACATGTCATTACAAACGATGCAAAGATAATTGTCTTTATAAAAATCCAGACTCCACCATACATAGACAAAGATTCTTTAAGTATAGAACACCACGTAAGACTACTTTTTATGGTAAAGCCCGCGTGAAATATGTGAAATTCAGAGAAATGTTTGTCACCCATGCCCGCTGACTGCACTGTCAGAAATCACAGTTGCAGTTTGCAGTTGTAAGTTTTGAGGCAAAGGTTTTCCTGCAGGTGTTGTAACCTACAGCAGACTTTGTTTATAACAGACAAATGTATTTTATGCAAAACCCCCCAAAACAAGACCAAAAAAAAGAAAAAAAAAAAAAAAGAATAAAATTCAGGCTCTTTTTTTTTGTTGCTAATCTTCCTTTTTCTTTTCACTTAAAGAGGACCTATTGTGCTTTTCCTTTCTTTCTACATATGTATACATTATCATGGACAAATAACAAATAGAAAGAAAAAAAAACCTGTGAGTGAAACGCACAGACGAGAAGGCTCAGCTTTAGACTGTTTTTCTACTTCTGGCCAGTATGATGTCAGTGACAGCAGATTCCCCTGGTAATTTCAGGGACATAGTTTGGACTGTGAGTACAGACAAAGATCTTCTATTTAGGATTAGCAGCCAATCAGAATACAGCCTAAATGAAAAGGGAATGGAGCTATAACTGAACTTAGGGGCTGCATAAAGGACCAGTATCAGATAAACAAGCATTATTTCAACTCTGAATCATGCAAAGCCACTCTATGAAACCATGTTTTGAATGTTCTCAACTCATTGTCAATCCTTCTGCTTACCAGAAGGTTGCCTTAAAAGGGTGAAGAGCTAAAGCAGCTCATGTCAGACACAAAAATGACCTGAAGGGCTGCATCAAGGACTAGTGTTGAATAAATAGGGATCATTTTGCACCGAGACTTATGCAAAGCTTCTCTAGAGTCCAAGAATAAAAATATAGAGATGCAAACGAGCAGAATAGGTCCACTTTAAACAAATGACTTGCCATGGTACATAACTGTTAATAATCATCATCGTCCTTACGTGCTATTACACAGCTTAAATAACAGTGTACGGGAAGAGTTCAATGCTGTCACTAGCTGACTCCTGATTGGTCAGTTTATGCTATAAAGCACAAGCATACGCAACACATCTACACTGAATCTCCACCATCCTTCCACAAGTTATCATATTATTTGTTCATCAGTTATCCTTTTGACTTCTTCTCTATGCACATCACTAGGAGAAAAAGGCACTTGCCCTTCCAAATGTCTTGAATAATCAACTTTGAAGCAAAACTCAAAGAGGCTTTTATCTTCATATGACCATTTCCCTGAAAATTCCCACACTAAAATAAGGTCAGCGAATTAAATAACGTCATCTCCTTTTCCTATAATATGTTTTGGTAAATATTAATTGCCTCCTTTTCCCCTCCTCCTTTCATAAAATTCAGGAAGTACTGCATGTAATAATGGAAGCCAGTTGGAGTTGAAAAATCGAAGGACAGAGAAAAGAGTAAGAGAACGCGAGAGTCTGACTTGAAAGTAAAAAGACCATAAGAAAAACAAATTAAAAAATACAGCTACCCAAATATAGCAATACCAAAACGAACACGCGCCACAGAATTTCACAGAATTCCTGATATATAACAATTCACACACAGAGAATACACCTTGGACCTCATGTGAATGACAACACAGTACAAAACAGTAGAAATACAGTTACCACCATTGTATAATATATATATCTTCTATAGTACTTTTCTGAAAAAAGTTCTTGGCTAGGTGGAACAAGATGGGGCCTCTCTGCAGCCACTCAAATCAGCAGGTCACATTAAATTCAATGATTTCCATAGAACTAATCAAGAATAAATGCTCTGATTCTCATATGTGTTTAGGATTGTTTGATGATGTACCAAATTTCAATTTTATACATTTTATTTCGATCAGGCACCTCTTCAAATCTGTGTGCAAATTCGTGACATGGTTATTATGTACTTAAAAAGAGATTCACCAGCACTGAGCACCGAAAACCAAATAAAAACTGTTGGAATTTTCTCATTTTGAGTATTTACAAATGTCAGATTATTTTCTTGATCAGGAATAAGACAGTTTTCATATTATTTGGGATTTCCGGGTCTTCAGTGCCCATAGGAACCCTGTGTACGTGTCCTGCATTGGTACAAGAGTTCTCCTCCGCTTCCATCCTTTCCTTCATCTGCACTGATTAGAAGTGATAACGTGACAGGAGCGTGCCGTGGCGATGCAAGCGAGGCCGCCCGGCTGTTTGTCTGTCAGTGCAGATGGAGGAGGAGTCCGGCAGAGGGGAAGATTGACTCAGATGCAGCTAAGCTCCATCCTGATGCACCTTCATCTCCCTTCCCTTCCCTCAAGACCGTGCGTCTGTTTTTGACTTCACTATTGTAATCACGCTCGTCGCCGTCGCCACCTTCCCTGGGATGAGTGGACCGATGACCGATGACGCCACCCCTCCCCCTCCCCCTCCAGCCCTGACCCCGACCCCGACAGTGGGGCTTCGTGCCACAGTCCTGGCGAAGGTCTGTAACGCCTCGTACTTAGACCTCAGAGCGTCCAGCTCAACGCGCATCGAAGCATTCTCATTGGCCAGTTTGTCCACCTCCTGCTGCAGCTGAGCCTTCTGCTTCTCCAACTCCTCCTTCTGGGTGACACGCTTCACCCGGCAGCTGGCGGCGTAGCCACGATTCTTCAGGGTGCGCCGCCGCTGTTTCAGTTGCAGGATCTCTTCTTTGGTGAGCCCTCGGAGGTGCTGGTTCAGCTCCCGCACCGACATGGTCACCAGCTCCTCGTCTGTGAGGCTGGTGCCATTCTCGCCCGGCTCACGCTTCACCTGCAGGACACAGGAAAAAGAGAGAAGTGAGAGAGAGAAAGCAGCAATGAGTTGACTGTAAAAAGCCCCGCCTGACACCTTTAAGACCTCATATTATCTGTTACTGCCAGGAAATGTTTATGTGGCCTGAACATTCAGACCTGTATCAGACTCTCCAGTGGCCACGTGTCACCCTGCCAACCCAGAAAACCGAGATTTAGAAGAAGTGGCAGCTGTTGTGCTTTAAGCCAAACCATGACCTTTCTCTAAACTTAATTACCATTAAAGGTGGCTTGGTTAACAACATATTGAAAATAATTCACGTGTTAAATCTGTGACATGATTTAACCATCCACATTTCAAACAGTGGTTTGTGGTTTACCGATTTCTAAATCCTGAAGAACCCAAGCTTAACCCCAACAAACTCTGGCCCTTGGAGTTTTTGTTAAATTGTTATCCTAAGTGTTGACAATCAGGGAACAAAGAAAATAATCATCCTACCATGCACTGTTTTGCTTTCTCCAAACTACTGGGTTAGGGTTACCACATATGATGACTCAGGCCTCAGTTAAGAGGCGAAGTCATTCCCTCCACCACCAAACCCTCAAGCCTGCAAATGTAGACTTTGTCATGCTTTAAAACGGGAAAATATTTCTTGTACAAAAACACAAATGAGTACATGCAGCACTGGAAAGATTTAATAAACAAAAAAACAAAAACCCCTTCATTACTGCATGAATTCAGGGTTAAACTTTGATATAATCATCACAGTTTGGATTCCTCCATCAGCTGATGCAAAGGTCAGCAGATGACTGTGGTGAATGGCAACAGACATAAATGGACCCGGATCACCCTCTGCACCACGTCCTGGACAAGCAGCAGAGAACTTTGTGTGTGTGTGTGTGAGAGAGACTATGTATTCCTATCTTTGTGGGGACCAAAAATTAGAAGTTCACTATATTTGTGGGGACCAGCAGCCCTTATGGGGACCAAAATCCTGGTCCCCACAAGTTTGAAGGCATTTTTGAGACTCAAAATGTTTTTTAGTGAGAGCTAGTAAGGATTAGTAAGGGTTAGGTACTCATTTAGGCATTCATTTTTGATGGTTAGGGTTAGGGTGAGAGGCTAGGGAAAGCATTATGTCAATTCGATGTCCCCACCAGATATGAATACCACACGTGTGTGTGTTTCTTTTCAAGCTCCTTATTCAATTACATTTAGATGTTTAATTATTTTGTCACAGGTTGTGTTTAATGGTTTTAGTCATTTTATTTTGGATAAATTCAAAGAAGAGTTTTTAGAAGTAGTATAGGAGGTCCCTCTCCCATGTAACCAGCTCCCAGATCCCAGGACTGGATCAGGTGACCCTGAACCATCCCTTAGTTATGCCGTGAGAGTCAGGCTGCTGGGGGGACTTCCCAGCATTGAGCATATGTTTTTCATGCCTCGTGTGTTTATCCCGCTACAACATGTGAATGATGTTTTTCTTCTCTACTCTGTAGTTTGTGTTTTGTTCTCCTTGTCTGTGATATCTCTGCGCTCTTTTTGTCTCTTCTTTTCCCTCCTCACCTTCCCATCTGCTTATTTAAATTCAAGTTCATTTACATAATCCTTTAAAATGACTGCCCAGAGGCATTTCAAAAAGCCCAGAGGTGCGCCTTCCTTCTAGCATCATTTTGGCTTCAGATGGGCATTTTTTAAATTCTGCGGTCCTCTGAGAAAGTTTTCTTTTCTCATTTGATCTTTGACCTCAAACTGTACTGAGTTTGGGGTAGGTAATCACTAAAGGAGAAGCATAAGAAGACAAAATTGTCCATCAGGGATAGGGGTATTGATTTTGATGCTTTCCTTTTTTCTCTGCTTCCCCTCACCCAATCTCAGCAGATAACGGCCCCTCCTTGAGCTTTGTTCTGCCACAGTCAACTTCCTGTTAAAAGTCGTTCTTCCTCTCTGCCATCACCACCTCATATGGGATTGTCTCTCTAATATCTTGGGGTTTTTCCCTTACAATATAAATGGCATTGTGAATAAATATGAAATGAGTATTTACTGGTGTATCAGCATCCCTTAGTTATGCCGTCATAGGTTCAGGCTGCTGGGGACTTCCCGTGACCTGAGCACTTCTTCCCACTGCCATGCATTTATATGCCACTGCTGCATATCATTATCTTTAATCTACTACTTTGTGTTTTTCCCGTATGTTGTTATGGGCTCTGTGTCCTTTTCTTTTTTCTCTTCTCTTTCCGCTCATTCTCCGACCTTTAAGGGCAGATGTCTACTCCTTTCTGGGCCTGGTTCTGCTAGAGGTCTCCCATTAAAAGTTTTCTCTTCCCAAAGTTCCTGCTGTTAGTGGACCATCTGATTGTTTCATTTCTCTAGAATATTGTAGGGTTTTTAACTTACCCAACAGCTTACCCTGTATAACTAAAATAAAATTGAAACATGCACCTGCTTACCTTCAAGGCTTTATTTCCTTTGTTAGTCGTCGTCATGCCACAAGAGCCTTGCTCTTCTGAATGAACCTGTGGAGATGCAGGAGAGCACAAAACATAAGCAGAGAAACATCACAGAAAAAAACATTAAAATAAACTGTGTTTAAGGACACCCTCTCTTCTAACAGTCAATTAAAAAAAATTGCAAACCAATACCTACCAAGAGGAGTGGAGACATGGTAAATCTATATCTACTATGTTGTGGGAGCATGTTCCACTGTTGTATCGGGGTGAGGTTGTATGAGTGAAAGTGACAGAAACTTTTCTTAGAATTTTCCTGACTTCCTGTTTCCTTGTGGTTACACTGACATTGCCCACTACCTTTGTGTTGTTGCGCTCTTATTGGCTGGCTTTCTGCCAATAGGAATGAAATGAGTGTGAGTGAAGAGGAAGTGGTAAAAACTGTGGGAAGGACTCCAGGGGAAAACCAACTGTTAGAACGGCCACACAAACACACACGCACACGCACACACACACACGCACGCTCGCACACACACATTCTCCGTACCAAAGATGAGCAGAAAACAGATATAGACCTACACCTACTGGGGATAAAAATGAAATCATTGATGCCTTTGCACCAAAGTGGAAACGAGACAAAAAAGAATGGAGATACAAATGTGTGAATCAGAAGTCAACAAAGACCGAGCGTGGAAACGCAAAGGATGAGATCAGCCCTTAGAGCGCACGGCTCCATGATGAGCATCTCCGCAAGCTCTCAATGAGAATCTTTGTTTGGTGACCTGTGTGTTTGTGTGTGTTTATAAAGGGCGGCTATTGTAGTTGGTGCTGAGCGATCATCATGAGACCAGTCATGATGACGCAGCAGATTCCGGATCTCACTCCCTCCCTTCTCTCCTGCAACACAAATTTCTGCTCTCCTCTCTTGACTTTTTGTTCTTCCCTTCTTCCCTTTAAGGGGAGGACAATACAAGATATGGTTGTCAATCACGAGTCATTAGCCAATGAGCACGCAGCATCCCTCAGATTCAGAGTCAAATCAAGCCCGAAGTCATCATATCCATTTTAAAAACAGAGACAGCAATGGCAATAATTCTCAGATTAAAGCCTCACAAGGGGACCTTACAAAGCAATGGACAATGTAAAAATTTACATCAGTCTTAAAGCCCCCAAATCACACACGCACACACACGCACAAAAAAGAAAAACCAAAAAAAAAAACCCCCTCAAAGTGTCACAGTCCAGAAAGGTTTCTTTATTAACGTTGAGCATTATTGTCACGGGATATATCACAGATGAATGCTGCCTTTCATTTACCTCAGAAGTCGTTGTTGTAGAAGTTGGAATTTTAGGTCTATGATGTAGGAGAGCAGCCAAAAGAAGAAGACAGCGTAGAATAACAGAAACAAGAACTGGTACCCTGGATGACTCAGAAAGAATCCAAGATAAAAGATTAGCCTTGTAACAAAGGAGACCTTTCATATTTTGACCAGCCACCTATCCCATCATATGGTGTTATAAGTTGAAAGTTTACCCTAAAATGTACTTTTTGAAGTTTTCTCCAGTGAATTATCAGAAAACAGATCAAAGATCCAGGGTCTATGATATATCCCCTGCTATTGATGCTTAAAGTTATAGAAAAAAATGTTTTCATTTAGACTAGAATCATTTGGAGTGGTTATAAAATGGATTTGGTTGCAGTTTTCAACAACGTTTAAATGTGTTTTTCAGTCCTGTCTTATGTGGTTATTTCATGTAGTCTTAGTTATGAGGGCTCAAATATGCTGGAAAACAAAACAGCTTTAGATCCACCCCTATGCACTCTGAGGGCCTGTAACTCAAACAGTTTCACAGTATGGTGGTTTGCATCATTTCATTATAATAAAGCTATTCTGAGGGGGTCAGGTGGAAACTTTTCTCACTGGACTAATTTCTACGAAGGCGTTATCACACCTTTCTTAGGTGTGATGACATTTAAATGATACCGGGCAACACGACTCTTTTCATTTTTTCTATCAAAAGACACCAAATGTGTTAGTGAGCCTCCCTCACAACGCATCACTGCCTGCCTGTCTGTTTGTGAGGGGGCTTCAGTGTTTGTGCATGCACTGCCACAAATCCTACAGATATAAATAGCTGCAGATCAAAGAAAAACATACAAATAATTATGCATGCACACACACACAAAAAAAACATGTCAAATGCACAGCAAGTTTAAAAAAAATCAGTTTAAAACTCAAGGAAGTGGTGAAGAGTGAAAAACAACAACAACAAAAAACGCGCAATAACATGCGAGGCTTAATCCGATGGAGAAATGGCACAGCTTCATTTAAAGCATTTGACTTCAGCACTTAAGGTTCTTCTTAATGAGTTACGATCAGTCAGTTAAATACAATCTTTTATTAAAGAGCTTCTTCTTGAGAGCTGAATGTGCCGCTGCACTCTTCTGTTTTTTTAGGATGCAGCCTCCCACAGCTGAGGTGCACGCTCGCACAAAAGATGAATCAAAGACATGAAGACTGAGGTTAGCTGCTGGGGGTTGGGTTGATGCAAACAGAGGGGGCATAAAGGGGGCTGTTTCCCTGACAGGCACTGGTTTATTTCCCTTGTGCCCAAACCCCCCCATCCTCCATCTACATAGAAACAAAAAGCATGCTGCCAAACACACACACACACACACACACACACACACACACACACACAACCCATCTGCTATGCCAGCGGGGCACAATAAAACACACATGCAAAATGGTTGACTGCGAGTACACAAGCGTTTTAAACAATGTCGTACTCGCATACTGCAGAGGTTTGATACCACATTTAACGTCGTAATTAAAAGCACTTTAAAAGGCACTTTAGATGTTTATATACGCAACATAAAAGGTTGGCATGGTGGTGCAGTGGTTAGCACCATCAAGTCACAGTAAGAAGGTTCCTTGTTTGAATCTTTAGGGCAGCCGGAGTGTTTCTGTGTGGAGTGTACTGGCATCCTCCCACAATTCAAAGCAGTTAGGTTAACTGGTGATCCTGTGTTGGCTATAAATTTGTGGCTCATAGACATTTATAAATCAGTTTTCCACTTTATAAATGACAATTAATTTCCAAAAAGGTGCCAGGTCTATTCTTGAATCATTCTGCTCTATCACAACACCACCGAATGTAATCAGATTTATAAACCGTAACCAAACACTGAGGAATTACAAGCAGTGTCAAAAGACAAAGTATAAACCCCCAGAACTTCATCACTTTACTTTTTTTAATGTTTTTTTTTTGTTTGTTTGTTTTTTTTAACATTCTGTTTACACCTGGGAAAAAAAGTGTGTAAAACTGCAAAACCACTAGAAAAAAAACAGTGATAAAAATTTTGGGTGCAGCGCTCAGCATTAATTAATTGGCTCTTTGAGGGTGACTGCATACATAAGCATAATTTATCTGCAAACAGGTAAATCAGAGTCTGCGTTACCTTGTGTCACCTTTACAGAAGCAACACAAAACAAAAACCTGTATGTCCTAATCCATCATGGTTAGACAACAACAACAAATTTCAAAAAACTGACTAAGACCAGAGGATAAAACTGCAATAAACTGTGTCTTTTTGGGGCATCTGTAAGTCACCCAGGTTGAGGATCATCTGCTGAGCAAAGGCATCGCCATTCATCTTGGGTGGACACACAAACACAAAGGGCCAGAGGTGTCCTTCCCATCATGCTTGTTAGGTGATCGCTGCGGTGTGGTCAATGCCACAGCCACTGTTGCTACAACAGAGCTTTTTTTTTTTTTTTTGCTGTGGCAGGCTGTATTTTTATGGAGCAACTGAAAGAACGCTGACGACTCAAGAGCAGAGCTGCTTACGGTTACAGCAGAGAGACAACACACACAAACACGGAGGACGGGATGTGAGGACAGGGATGGCAGAAGAGCTGAGAAGCGGTGAAGATGAGTAGAATATGGTTGGAAGGCAAAAAAAAAAAAAAGATGAGAAAGTCAGGAGGGAGAAAAAAGATAGCAAGGTGAAGACAGAAAAGAAGAGGAGGAGGAAGAGGAGAGGGGCGCTGGTGGTGAAGGAGGACTGAAAGAATGCTGACGTCTCCAGAGCTGATTAGCGTTACACAGAGACATCACACCCACAGCCGAGAAAAATGCTGAGTATGGAGAGAGGACAGGGTGTGAGGAGACGAGGGGGGGGGTGCAAATGACAAGGGAGAAAGAACAGAAGAAAAAGAGAAGCAAGTGAATAGGGAGGAGCAGGAGGAGGAGAAGGACAGAGGAGGAAGGGGGGTGGGAAAGCATTTCGGTGAAAATGCATCCTCAACACATTTGTAAGAGCTTAGCTGTGGAGTACAGAGAGTGGGGGAGAGAGAGGAGGAGGACGAGTAGGGGGATAAAGCCCCCACCAAAACCCTGAACTCAGCAACGACCACAACTAAAACCTCCAATTAGAAAAGTTCTGAAGCTGATCCAATGCAATGAAACCACTGCTGACCACCTCCCTCTCCCCTCAACCTTCTTTAACACACAAAATAAAGAAAAGACTTCACATCTCTTCCTGTTGACAAATCAAATTCCACAGAAAGGACAGGGGGATAGTCTTGCAAATAAGAGCTATTAATAATAAAACCAATACATCCACACTCAGACTTGGGGAAAAAAAAATAATAAATTCAAGCATTTGTTTTCCCCAAGGCTCATATTGCAACTCCCCGGGCAAACATTTCAGCGACAACTATCTGTCGGCTGACCGTCTTTCTCAACAAAAAAATTTCCACAACAAAAGTGGCGATGATAGAAGTTAACCGCACCTCTGGATGTCCTTGTGGGTTCAAGAATAATTTTATACTACCCTTTTTATTGATTACAGCAAAATGAAATTAAACATTCTTGATTGGGAGAAAAGTAATCTGACATATCCTCCTTCATTCAGGCCTTTTTCTTTTGTTCCCCAATCTGCATAAGAGACACGTTGATCCCTGTATGAGCCTTGATTCCTCCTTATCCTGTTGCCTGCTAGAGGCAAATATTTATCATTTTTCCAGTTGACTGTATTCATAACACTGTGTTTCCATTGGCTATGCATAGTGAAGTATTATAAGCATGCAAGCAACCTACGTATTCAACAGCACATCTGACGGCAATGATGCTATGCAAAGGTAGACTGTTGACTGGTTGAAAAGTTTACTTGAACAGAAAAGGAAGTGGCAGCAGAGTTCAAAACAAAGATAGAAGCATAGAAAATACTGTTGTTTTTAACACTCAGTTTCACTTCACTACAGAGAAGTTCTTTGTTTCTTTTAACTTCTCTCTGTTAAATAGAAGGAGCTAAGCTGAATAACCAACAACATCACAATAAAGAACGAGAATAACTTACAGGCAGGTCGTTTTTGACAGCGCCCCCTGGTGACAGCGCACAGTTATAACATTTAGAGAACGATCCGCGTATGACCAAAGCTCAACCAGGTTGCTGCCGTGATGCTAGGCAAAACTTCACTTCACATTCGATGTGAGCTATTAGATTACTGGGTCCAACTTTCCTGCCTTTACTCATGACTGCATGATCTACTGGGAAGAGGCACGTTTTTGCTCTCCTTCGACACACATTTCCGACATCAGTCTTGCAGAGCTTCATAATTTTTTAATAATTTTATGCATTTTGTGGATTCATTGCGGAAACAGTTTCATAGTGTCAAAGTATTTGTTAGCAAGTTAAAGAGATTTTTATTGAGATAGTCATGCGCTGTCTCAGGCCTACCTTTTCAAGGGGGCTAGGGTCGCTTAACCACATGAACAGGCGTTTTACAATTTTCACATTCATTAGGCTATTAGGGTCCATGCGATGTGTATTTTGTCAGCATAAGGTTTTTAGTGTACTTCCACATGTCTGTCCGATTTGCATGACTATGCAGACTCGTCTGCAGAGATTTGATTTGACATTGCACCAACTATGCATGTGTAGTTGGCTTCAAAGAACTATGAAATGAGTTACAAGTCAACCGTAGTGTCTCCAGCTGCCCACGCTGCAGCAGAATATAATCGCTGCTTAAAGGTGACTGTGCTTTTGGCATCAGGACCCCTCTGCACTGGAACAACCTGCCTGAGGAGGTCAGCCTCCCAGTAGTCACCTTTAAATCACCTCAATGCATTTGCAATGATTTTCTTTTATGTCATGACATTACACGTAAGATCTTCTTACTTGCTCGTAATCAAGCTTCCTAATTTTAGTTTTGCCATTGACTTTTATTTTTTATCATTCTGTCTTGCACCCAGGATGAAAACCAGGGTAATAGTGCAGCAGGATGTGATCATGGGGCTAATAAAGATAGATTAAAAAGAACAAAGGACACAGCATGATGAGACATAGACTGCTTTCTCTCGCAGACAAACAGGATGATGAACTCTCTCTGTGCGGCTGGCTTCAGACAGAGCTCTAATTAATCTTGTTTGCGAGAACCTTTTGCCCCGGCCTCTACTGCCACACAGAGAGGAATTTCTTAGAAAGAGACTTGCTATTTAAGAGCTGGTGGCCTGCTGCAGACACACACAGTGGAAAATAAATGGCCAGATTAGGCGCTCCAAAAATGACCCGGGGGCTGCTACAAGTGGGTGTTTGCGCACATAAACAAGTGAGCATATATAGCCAATGATCAAGAATAGATTGTAAGAGTCACAAGTCATTTGTGATGCAGTGGCATTGCTGCGTTTATTGAATAATCCGACAATAACAACTGCTTTAACTGTGTCTTCTCCTTCAGGCATTTCTCTAAGCAATAGCGGGGGAAACACAAAGGATGGCAGCTGAGTGAAGCAGTAGACGCGCACAGTAGGTCGTAGAGAGGACATGACAGAAAGACATAAAGGGAGCAAAACGTAGGGAGAGTGAATTGAAACCTCAGACAGCTACAAAACTCAGCTCCTGGCAGCAGTCCACCTTGGGTTTGTTAAAAAACAGAGCGAGTAGCTCTCATTGATCCCGTGTGGGCCGAAGATGGTGAGGGAGTCGGTAAATAATTAACGATGAGCTCTGTGTGGAGTCTGATTGAGAATTAGGAATCAGATCAGAGATAATGGCAACCTGTGTGTAGAGAAAAGGGAGGAGCAGCGATACAGGACCTTGGGTCTGAGGAGCTGAGGAGTGACAAGGAGAGAAGTCACTAGTATGGGCTATGTGTGTTTGAGAGTGTGTGCGCGTGTGTGTTTTAGGAAAGGAAGCTATTAACTGGAGGTTATGCAGAGCGTGAAATAAGCATGATAACACAGACAGAATGAGGAGATGGAGAAAACACAGGAAAAGTCATGGAGAAGAGGAGTCTAGACCAAGGGTGTCAAACATGTAGCCTGGGGGCCATAACCGGTCTGCAAAATGGTTCAACTCAGCCCACCAGAGTCAGAAAAAAATTGTAGTTACTCCAACTTTTGAAAAGAAAAAAAAAAAAAAAGAAGCATTGTGACATGAGCGTATGACACCGTACATCGAAAGTAACGTCACAACTGCTGGCGTTCAAAAAAAATGTACATTTCCTTCAGCTCTCTGGTTTCTTTAAGCTGGTGCTGGAGGCAGAGTTGTTAACACAACTAATTTCCATAGGTTAGTTTAAATTTTGCCCTTACTTTTCTGCTGTGGTTCACACCATTGCCTGTATGTAACCATTCTTGAATTCAAGATCATTTTCTGAATGTCAGGAGTAGTTCGTGCCCCACCCTCATCCACTTTCTCATCTCACATACCCCTCCTTAGCACACGTGGATCTGCCTCACCTGGGAGCTTGAGTTTCCACTGAGGTCCTCTTCAAAACGCAGCCTAAAGAACTATTCTTACTGAACCTGCAATTCTCTTACAAAACATGTTTTCAAATCTAATTGAGGATGTGGACCCTGCCAGTGAATGTGTGTTTGTATGTACTGTTTGTTGGCATATGCACACTTTTTACGCATTTCTCTTTTTAAAGCACTGTGTGTATTAAAAAGTGCTATACAAATTAAGTCATTATTAGTAATTAAAATCATTATGACATTGATGTTCTAGCCCCTCATAAACATATATGGAATCACTTTCACAGTTTACTGAGAGTTAAAAAGGGGCAGCGTGTGTGTGCGTGTGTGTCTGTGTTTGTGAGACAAGTGCGTTATTAAAGGCGAGAAAAAGTCCTGGCGTCGACACGTTTTTCCCATTCCAGGTAGTAAGTCGGAGTGTGATGACAAATTTCCCAACACAAGCAAAAAAAAAAAAAACTGCACTGTCAGGCAATTGAGCTCTGGCGCCTTTTTTTCATAAGTGCTTTTTTTTTGAAGAGAGAAAACATGTAGCGCAGGTTAAGTCATTTCTGTGTGTGTGTGTGCGCGCGTGTGCATACAAACAGAGCTGCGAGGGAGACAGGGATAAGTTAAACGACACTATAAGTTTATTTCACCCAGACGCCGTGCATCCCAGGTCAGCAATACAAACTTGAGACAAAGAGAAAGTTCGAGTCCAAGAGCAAAGTAAGCACGGCGCGACTCTGTGGGGAGGCATTCATCATTATCAGTCACATTAATGGGAAAGTATCATCAGAAAACCTTTATCACAGGGAGGAGGAGATGTGTTTGTGGTTTACAGAGGTGCACTCGGGGGCAGTGGTCTCTTTTGCACTGCGTTCATTCTCCGTGACTATTTTAAGGTTTTCCTTTAAGATGGTATGATAGGTATTATGATATATTTAAATGCGCACAGAGGGGCAGAGTATGTGGACATTTTACCGAAGCAGGGCTGCCTGCTTCCCTTCAATCTGATATTTATCCTCCTGCCAAACGCAGCAGTTTAAAACAACACATGACTAACAAAACTTCACCTGTAAAAACCATAAACAATTCTACTACTTTAAAGAAACACGATTAAATGCCAAGAATTGTGAAGTGAATAGTGCTGAAACAACTTCCTGATTTAAAAAGCCTGATCTTCCAGCTTTTCCCAGGCTAAAACTGGACCCATTATACTTTTTCTTTGTGTATATATGACATTATAAATACAAAATATTTGTACAGGCACTGAGTAACAGCCTCTTTGAGCCTGTGAGCCAAAAGCTCAGTGAGTTTTAAGTAGATTTTTCTACTCTTTTATTTTGTATTTACCGTATCTGACAGTCACAGACAAAAAGCCCATTTCCAAAAGGGCAATTAGTGGAAC